AAAGTAGCGTTCCCTGACAGACTGCTTGTCACCCGCCCTACTTCCTGTCCCGGCCTTACCTACCCGCCCTACTTCCTGTCCCGGCCTTACCTACCCGCCCTACTTCCTGTCCCGGCCTTACCTACCCGCCCTACTTCCTGTCCCGGTCTTATCTACCTGCCCTACTTCCTGTCCCGGTCTTACCTTGGGGATCTGATGGATCTCAAAGACCTGTGGCAGTTTGATGCTCAGCATGTCTGTGGGCAGCCTGATGGCACCCCTCCCTCTCTGACACACCTCCCTGAGCCGGGCGCGCCCACGCCGACACAGGACCAGCCAGACCGGGTAGTCGAACACCAGGAACCTGGTCCCCCGGTTCGGACTCTCCGAGTCCCATCTCAAGCAGCGGCCCCAGCCCTGGGTCCACCCGGCTCCGTTACTGGTCCCGATCCCCCGCCACACCGGAAACACTGCAGGACACAGAAACAAAGAGATGTTTTAAAATAAAAACATTTTAGTGGTTCTGATCCAGTTTGTTCAACTTCAGGTTTTTACTGGGATAAAATGATTCACAGCTGAATCCTGCAGGGTGACATCGACTGGAGCACAACGGTCTTTTATTCTGGCTGCAGACACACACACACACACACACACACACACACACACACACACTCTAACCCGACCGTCCCATGAGCGGTCTGGGACCAGATGCAGACCTGTAACAACATGTTTATGAAAACGGAGCTGCAGAGACATTTTCTGTCTGCAGAAAAATAAAAACTATCTGATAAATGTTATCTTTGTTTTATGGCTTTCTGAAACTCTTACATCATGTTTGGTTGCCGAACAAGAAAATTACTTTTTATCACAACACAAGTAAGAACATTTGCAAAGATTAGCTGGGCTGTCGACAAAAATATTAAAATAAGGAGATCTGAGTCAGCCTCTGTGTGAGAAGCTGAAAGAAAATTCTCATTTTTATGTGATTTCATGAATAAAAACAGTCTTTATAACAAAACAGTTTCCTCAAAGAACTGTGGTCATTTCAAAATAAAAGACTTTATCGATGAAAAGGAAGAAGCAGAACCTGCTTCTTCCATCATCAGATCCAATCAGAACCTTCCTGACTGAAAGCTTTCATCATCTGTTCTCAGACCTGACAGGATCAATACTTCCTGCGGTTCCAGCTCCCACCTCATGGGGGTCCCCTCCACCGCAGAGGGTCCGGCTGCTGACGGACCCCCAGCTGCAGAACCGGGCCTGCTAAGTGACAAAGTGAGCTTTGTGTCGTCTAAAAGCCTGAGAGGACAAAACACTAAAGGATGACTGTTACACACTGCACTGGATGGAAATGAGACACACACACACACACACACACACACACACACACACACACAC